AAAATATATTAATATTTATAGAACATATGTCATTAAAATGTAAAACGTAAAATTTATCATAATGTTGCAATCTCTCATTTTACAAGTATTAATTATCTTTGTAAAATTCTCTATGAAATCAATTCATTATTTAAAAATGTTTACTTCATAGCATTAAATGAGAAGACTTTCCGTATTTAATCTTTGTTAAATATTTCCGTCTCTATACTTGCATATAGAGATAGAAATTTTTGTATATTTTCTCTACCTGATTAATAATACAAAGTCTTCCAAAATAAATGCTACCATTTAAATTACTGTAAATATGTTAACTATCCGAGAAACATGCAACAAATTCTAATCAATATAGTAACTGTCCGAGTTTCATCTTCATCTGTATTCAAACATCTTGTCGTCTACCACTCCTAGGAAATGCCGTAAACAAAAATGGCAATTCTACAACAGAGAAGTTTTGTGTTCCGCAATTTGTAAAGTTGGAATCGCTCGTCTTATGCAACATGAGTAATCTGCAGGAGCCGTGGAATCATGGCTGCTTTGGGAAAAGCGACAGCAAATTTGCCATAGCAATCATAGGAAGAATTTGTATATTTGTCAGGTGTGTATAATGTGATATGAGGTGCATGAACTGAGAAATTTTAATAGGCAAATGTAAAACTTAGTTTTTCAACATTTTAATGCAGATTACAATGTTCTTGGGTAATAATTAACACAATCAAAATAATTTAAAATGGCAGCAGTCTTTTTTCAAAATCCCTGTAATTTTTAAGCTTTTATCCATTAACAACATATAATTAATATTGTTTTCACTTTTGAAACATTTAAGAATCTTGAAAATAATCATCTGATAAAAACAAATACTAAAATTGCATGCGAAATAATATAAAATCAAATTCATTTGATAGAAGCCTGACTCATTAGATGAGATCTAAAGCTTTGTGATAAACAACTTGAAAGATCTTGATTAAGGATTGTATTTTTGTTTCATCTAACTTGAAGATGTCTGTTTACAACCAAAGAAACTTTTCTTTAAAATATACCCATTTTTTGCTAGTTATTGGTGTCTAGGTGTACTTATTACTGCATTATACCAGTATTATGGTAGTGATTGTGATCTCAACTAACAATACACATAAGTGATTCCTTGAAAAAAGTATAGATGACATTGACTTAGTTATATAATTAAGAATTGGGGCGAAAGAAAATCTCTCATGTATTATTACTAAATTGCCACTTAAAAATATTCCTAATTAATAAACTAATATAGTCAGACAGTCAAGCAGTTAAATTGGCAGCATACCACTCTGGGGTCAAGGAATTGAATCAGGACAAATAAAAAAAAAAGTCAGAAAATTTTTGAGAGTGTTTGTCCAGATAAGTCAGGCCCTGTTCCTCACCATCTGATCACTTTCGTTGTGGGCCTGGCCAAATCCACAATGGGCTTGCTAAAAAAATACTTTTAGTGCCCAGAGGATAGAGAGAGTTTACCAAAAAAATTAATGAACTGAAAACCCACTACTTAGACTATTTAGAAAATTATCATTTTCTTTTTCACAAGTGACTCCATTGTTATCAGAAAAAAAGTGATACATTAATAGTTCAAAAAGGCTAAATTTTTCTGTTTTGAAACAGAGTTTACATTGACATTAATACTAATTCTGAATTTAATTATAATTCAATTTAAAAGCACAAATTGTATTAAGTACAACCTAATTTTTATATTTTAATATACATCATCACACATTAACAACTACAATTACTTTTTTATTTCCATAAAAACAATAGCAATAATTAAGTGAACAAGTCAAATACAAAGTCAAAGAAAAAGAAATTATTAGTTGATTTAAAATGTTATTATGCAAATTAATAATATTAATTCCACACAGAATCAACCAAGCATATGAAGATATATTATATATTATTAAAATAATGTTTTTGCAATCTTTTATTCTATTATTATTAATTTCTTTTTAATATTTTTAAACTGGATAACAAAGAAATTCTATTAACTTACATAATAATACACAATGTTATTTATATATATTACAGTCATATTATTTAATTTTAGTTACGCTTGATTATATCAAAAATTTAATATAAATGATTTTAGTAATCTGTTAAATTATAAAATTAAATTTTTCCAATTAAAATCAAATTTTAGAATGCTTAATTATAATAAACTGTTTGCATTTTTCAGAGGCTATTAGAGAGTAAAATTACTATAAGAATATTTTTAAAACTGTTTTGTTCTTTGAGTGTGGTTTGGTTTTATTTAAATTTACAGTCTCAATATTAAATATAGAAAAATACATTAACACTCAAATGATAAAACTGGATTAACTATCATAATCAGTTAATTCCACTGTTAACCTAGCCTTATCATCTGATCATTAGAATATTCAGTTTTGATTCTTTATATGTATAAATTAAACACTTGGCGCTTTTCCTCTTTATTCAGTTTTCAACTGAATAAAGAGGAAAAGCGCCAAGTGTTTAATTTATAACACGGTCTTGTGTTCAATAGTCAATAAATACGAAAACACGGTTTCAGAAAACAAATCTTTATATGTATTTAAAACTTAATATACAAAACACTGTTTAGAACTAATATCAATTACACAAAATGAGTCAAAAGAAAAGGGAAATATCTTGGAGAATGATCATATAGGTTATTGTAAGCAAAAAACTTTATATGAACATGGGTATTATTCTCAGTAGTTTTGGAGATACAGCTGTATGAGAGTTGCTCACATATAATAATAATGAATGGTATGTATTACATTCAAAACAAATGCTAAAAAATTTAATTCTGAACATCAATACATTTTATAACTCATGTCTAAACATCACATGCCATTTCTGAGTTAGCAATGATTACCATTGTGTAACTCAGAGACAAAATTGCATCTCCTGGAAACAGGTACTGGACATACCGGTAGTGATAAGGATGTAAGACAAAGTAATGTAAAGTTTAATGACTTGATTGTAAAGGGTATTGAAGTTCAGGATTTGATTTTTTAGCATTTGTTTTGAATGTAACACACATCATCCATTGTTATTGTTATGTGTAAGCAACTCTCATACAGCTGTATCTTCAAAACTACTGAGAATAATACCCATGTTCATAAAGTTTTTTGCTTTTTTAACTGAAGAAAATACCTATTACACACAATTTTTTTTTTTAAATCAGCAAATTCTAACTTTTATCAATAATTGTTAACATTTCTGGCCACTTTTAATGGAGTTCTTTAGGCTGTTCTAGAATCTGAAGCTTTTTAAATTTATGAAATACCATATATGACATAGAATCCCAATCATACCTAAAATGTAAAAAGTTGTGATAATTGGTTGTAAATTTTTTTTTAAATGTCCAGCATAAATTAATCTAACAAATATTTTTACACATCTCATAACAATAAGATTATATACGAGTCACAACAAAACAGGATTTATAAGAAGGAGTATGTGACTTATTGGTCAAAGGGATTTCATACCAAGATATCCATACTTGTGAGATTGCATTAATATTTTTGAAATTTATAGATTTTCCTCTAAACACTGATTTACATATTTCAAGTTTCTCCAGCTGCCTCAGGCTATGTCTACTTCATACAGGTCTTATAAGTTCTTCCGTCAAATTCACCTCAACCAACTCCTCCAATGTATAAACTACCAAGTAGAGGGTTGTCTGTTTTCTTATGGTGTACCCATGTTCCCTGATTCTAGTCCTTGAAAATTGGGAAATTGATCAAACACAATAGAATAGCAGAAACATCTAAATTGTATGAAGAAAACAGAAGAGCGCAGATGCTATTTAAAAACTATAGCATCTCTAATTAGCAAATACTATAATAATACCAATGCCAATAAGCATAGGGAAGTCAAGGAAGACTACACGATTGTAAGTTACAATAGATTTTAAAAAGCATTTGTAACAAGATCATATTGGAGGAGAAACGTGTGTATAAAAGGAACCCCACCATTACAAGCTGCTAATGAAAGATAAGGATTGGATAGACCCTTTAAATTTATCTGTGTACACAGAGTATCTATTATGAACCACAGAATTAGCCAAAACCTTGAATGTATTAGGAGTACTTCCAAACCTCTGAGGACCAGAATCAAGGATCATAAATATACTGTAAGAAAAAGATAATCTTCTAAGATATTGGTAGCTTATGCATCAGAAAAGTTGGTCAAGGTAAACTTGAGTGAACAAAAGTTATAAGATTTATCCAAATACAAGAGCCTGAGACAATTGGAGGAGTTCAAAATATATAAATCAATGAGAGGAAAATCTATAAATTTAAAAGGACTGTGTAATCTTGTAAGTGCAGAGACCTTGGTATGAAATTCCCATGAAGTAAGAAGTCATTCACTCCCTTAATATAAATGTCATTTTGTTGTAAATTGTGAATAATGTTATTGTTAAAAGAAATGTAAAAAATATGCTGCTTTAAATTTATTAGATTAATTTATGCTGAACATTTTAAAAATTTACAATCATTTCTCACAAAGTTCCACATTTCAGATATAACAAAGAGACAGAACACAGATTGAGATTTTGTGTTCTGTCTGAAGTTCATTAAAAATGGCAACAAAAAATGTTAGTAACCATTGATTAAAGTTCCAAAAGTAAAAGAAAAACACACTTTATAATTCCAGCCATTTGTATTAACAAAGTAAAAATGTTTTCAACCTCAGTTAATAGGTTATAACACAAATAACTTTAAATGAAGTGAATGCATAGAATGTTCCAAAATAAATAAAATATATATAAATTTTTACACTAAATCGAGTTTAATTAGTCAATCTATGTTCTAACTGAGGAAGACCTATGAACCACAGTTGAAAATGTTTTTACTCTATTAAAAAGCACATTGCTGGAGTTACGAGGTATATTTTTATTTTATTTTTGGATTTATATATTTAATCATTCCAGACATTATTTATTTTTAAAAAATTACAAATACTTAAATACAAATAAAAATTTTAAATCTTACTTGATTGGAGGCTCTGAATTCCAGAACAGTTTGATTTGGCAGTAGAGCAGCAATTAGATTGCAAATCATTATTCCAGTTAAGTAGTTGGACTCGACATTTAACGATGTTAATGTCTTATTTATTTTCAAACACTCGACCAAATCCTAAAATTAACAAAGAACAAAATTAATTCAACATAATATAACAACATTTTGTTTATGCATTCTATATTTTAAAAAACTTACCTCGCAACTCAAATCATTTAAATCCGTATTTGCTAAACTGAGAGTTTCCAAGTAAGTATTGTTTTGCAAACCATCAAACAGTCGTTTAAACTTTTCTTTTGAAATATTCTGAAAGTTAAATAATCCATATTAAATAAATTAATGTAATTACCAATCTAATGATTTTTGGTATATCATTTACTTTAAAAAGTCTTTCAAAAAATTGATAAAAAAAAACCAATTAAAAAAAGAGATTTTCAATGAAACAGATAAAAATTTAAGTTAAAATCCAGTTATAAAACATAAGATTAATGAAAAGCCTCATGCCTTTTTCTTCCAATATCTGTATTAAATCAGAGATGAAGACTTTAAAAGCATTGTTCATAAAGAAAGGCTAAAATAGCTGTATTTTTTTAAAGTCTTGGTCTCCTACTTAATATGGATATTGGAAGAAAAAGGTGAGGTTTCTCACTAGTCTTTTTTTTCCTAAATTTTTGATCAATTTATATAAAAAAAACATTTATAAAGTCCTTACCTATCTCAGTGAAATAACAATTTTTATTGATTTTTATTAAAGAACATCATAAAAATGATTATGCAATATGCATTCAAATACAGAAGTGCAAAATTAAAAATATTTGAAAGAAAATTCTGTAAACCAGATTTTACAGACAAAACAAAAAACAAATTCTTCAATAAATCCAAAAAGATGAATAACCAAATATCTCAGACTGTATAGTAAAAGAATAATCATTCATGTCAACTTGTGCTACATCCTACACTTTCAATTTGACTGTTTTTAAAATTTTGACAACATATTTGTATATTTTATTATTCAATATATGTATACAGTAGAAACTTGATCCAGTATTTTTTCACTAGTTCTTTTAAATCTTCATAATCCACAATGTTAATGTTACCACATTTAATATTGCATATTTTTGGGATGTAATGCATTAAAAAATGCAATCAATGGATGAATTCTCACCTCAAATAATGTTTCTTTTTAAAAAAAAAAAAAGTTTGAATGGTCAGGAGAATTACAGAAATTCAATGAATTATCAAGATTATTTCTCCAGATTATGATAGTGAGTAGCGACCATATTCTATAGTTTTGGCACCTTGGTATCATTGCTAGACTCAGACTGGCACAGTAAAGCAATATCAAACATATTTTCAAAGCATACAATAAATTCTGTAGTCCAATACAGTATTCCTGTGCAACTACAAACCCACAAATGGGCAGCGAGTACAAAAGGAAGTACAGTTCATTTCATGAATCTTAACCAGACTGTAAAGATGTGCAATGGCAGGGACCAATCTATTTACTTATTGAAGGGACTATATTGTTTGACCAATATTCAAGGTCACTAACTAATGAGCATCACCTGGCCAAGATATATGAAACAATTCATATGTAATGCTCAATAGCAGTAACGACATTGACAAAAATAAGTTTCTTTTTGTTTCAAGTTTAGAAATTGCAGTGATGAAGACATATCAAATCTTTGACAGAAAATAAGTATCTCTGATTTGGTTCAGAATAGTTTAACAGTTCATTATCTTTGTACAAACATGTCTAGAGGTGTAGATAATATACGAAATAAAAATTTCCATGGAAATGTTTATACTAGTGATGTAAGTGTTTATCTTCATTTTATCATCCTGAATGCATATACATATGCACTTGCACATTTTAGCATGTTTTAAAATATGTTCAGATCTTATGTAGTCCATATTTTAATGTACAGGTAGCCCTCGGTTTACACCGCAGTTCTGTTCCTACAAAAACCGGCAAAAATGAGCCCATATTTACAGTGAGGTATAGAGTTAGGTTCTACATAAGTGAAAAATAAGCAAATAATTTTATTTATTAATACAATATACAGTAGAGCATCGATTATCCGACCCCCAATCAAACGTCACTTTGGTTAACCGACCATGTTCTAGTCAACAAATTCAAATGTCTGCTAGTGATGTGGCGCTACAATATTTGGCTATGTCTTGGCTACTTTAATAGTATTTTTACGTGTTTTAGCTGGCAACATGGCTCGACCATGAAAGGAAGCCAGTATTTAAACGAGGCTTAATTTTCTAATTTTTAACGATACAATAGCGACTATTATTTTAAAAAAATTTTTGTTAGGTTTAACATTGATGAAAATTCAACGCGAAGTAGGTTAATAGCGATATACTAATATACTAATTACATGAGATATACTAATATACTATACTAATAACGTATTTTTTCGTATTTTTTCATATTTTTCGGTTATCTGTTTTTTCAGTTATCCGACCAACCCCAGTCCCCAATTGAGTCAGATAATCGATGCTCTATTGTAATACAAAATACATAAAACAAATTTTAAAAATTAAATTTATATCATAAAATGAAGTGAAATGTTTTTATTAAAAAATTTTGGTTTTGATCTCTTACATTTTTCGGAAAAAGTATCCATCTTTAATTGTTTACATTTTTGTTTTCTTTCATTAATAATTTTAGAATATGGTCAAATGAATGCGATGATGCTCCTTTTTACATTTGCACTTCGCTCCCAATCATTGTCTAACTCACAGAGTTCATCCATCAAATTTTCCATAGTTGAAAGGATACGCTTTAGATCGGCCATTTTCAAAACTCTTGGAGTTTCTTCTTTGTCGTTCTTCTGTAGCTCTATGTCGGGTCCACAGCTCATTCAAATCTAACGGTTCATGGAACATTCTCTATTGGTCTAGATCCGACCAATCCCAACGAGCCACAATTATGCCATAACATGTGGTGTCGTAGTGGACTCATGTCTTGCTGGGATTGGTCAAATTTAGTGTAGGGAAAATTGGGGAATTACACAATGAAATGGCGAATTGTGCAGCGGCGTTATTGTGAATCAGCGTAAACCAAGGGCTACCTGTACTTTTTTCAATGGTTTTTGAAAAATGTTAAATCAAGTTTCTACTATGTGTGTATATACCTTTACAGTTTTGCAATTGAACTTTAACAAGATATTAAAATAATTGAAACTATTATTTTTATTCTGTATAAAATGTTTTCTGCATTTATTAGCAAAATTGTTTTAATTGGTTTACATAGCTTGATTGAAGTTTAATCAAACTTTTGAAAGAATATTTGAAAAANATTAAAGATTTTTTAAATTTTAGTGGTTCCTAAGACTGATAACAGGACTTTTGAAAACTACATAATTATAAAAACATTAATAATAAAATCAAATTTTGTAAACAGTTTAAATACTTTACAGGATTTTAATGTTTACGTGAAATTACGTGACTTCCTTCTTTACAGAAAGTTATTATATAGTTAATCGGGGCCTCCTGCCCCTACGCTTTTCAGAACAGGTCTCGACTCATGTATCTAACACCGATCTCAAGATTAAATAACGACAGACAAACAGTGGAAATTTATAGGTCTACAATTTTTTCAAACTGCAGTCCAATATACTCACCGATGCAATTTCTAGATCCAGCTGAGAATGGAACATAAGCATATGGATGTCTGCCTGCAGTGTTTTCTGGTAGGAACCTATCCGGATCGAATTTCTCAGGTTCGGGAAATACTTTTGGATCTCGATGTAACATATAGTTGAAGAGAATACAGGTTGATCCTTTCGGAAGTGTATATCCATCTGAACAAGTTATATCAAGTTAGAAATACGTAAATTCTTTTGGTATTTTAAGCTAGATTTCTCGAACAACTTACCAATAGTGACGTCTTCAGCTAAGTCTCTAGAAATCATTGGAACTGAAGGAAATAATCTCAAAGCCTCCTGTAAAGTGAAATAAATGAGAAAACATGTAACATATTTTAAATATAAAGTGGATGATCGGTTAACGAACAGATCGGATAACGAACACTTTCGCGAAAGATTTTTATGATCGAACAACGAACACATGTTCAGATAACGAACACTTCACTGAACAAACACAAAAAGAAGCGACGTAAATAACGAATACCGATTGGTCTTTCTTTGTCTCAGGCAACAATTCGAAACTTTTCGGAGCGCGGGAGATGTCGACAACGACGTTCTACCCAGTATATACTGATTGGATAGTATTCTCCCGAACTTTGAAACTCTCCCTTGTAATTCCAGCCTTTTATATTTCTGACAGAAACAATTCTTTTATGTTTTCTTCTGAAAATGCGGATTTATGCCGATATCTGCTATTAAAGATCTTTTGAAGACGTGGGAGGATGTCAGAACAACGGTCTTGAAATGTCATCCAAACCAGGTTGAGGTTAGGCCTAGGGATCTCTACAATTACAATTACTTCTGAAAAATCATGAAGAAGACAGAAAAGCAATTGACATTGGACAGATTCTTTAACCCCCACAAACAGAAAAATCATGACTAATAAAAATGCAAGACTACATATATATGTATTTTTACTATTACATGTAAATAAATGTAGTAAGAAAGTATATATATTTTTTAATAAAATTGAAGACAGTATGCCCAAAAAGGACCACCATTTATTATTTCCATGTTCCAGACAATATACATTCTTGGCAACAGACCTTTCCTTTTAGACTGTCTTCAATTTTATTAAAAAATAATCTCCATTGGATGAAAAAAATTTACAGATATATATTTTTTTATTTTTTGGGGTCTCCAGAACGAATTAATCAAATTGCCATTGAAACCTATGGTAAATTGATAATCGGTTAACGAACAAAGTCTTGGAACAGATTATATTCGTTAACCGATCACCCACTGTATTAATTATTTGTTTATAATCATATTTAGCCTGAATATTTAGGCAATCGTTGGATTATTATATTAATTCATCGGGCTTTGAGATGTGTATTATATGTATATTCACATAAATTATTATGGTCTTTTCATTAAACACGTTTTGCCAAGATCCTGAAAATTAAAAACTGTTAATGCTGCAGAACATCTTTTGCAAAAGATTCTTTAAGCAAAGATAATGTAATTTATCATAAATGGTATAAATTAAATTTTTGATTATCTAAATGTCTATGGATATATATTTTATAATTAACTGTTAAAAGTTGAATATTCATCAAATCCAGAAGATTACATTAACTTGTTAAATAAAAACTAAGTTATTATATTAAAAACGCCAAGCAATGGGTTTAGTCTAATGTAAATTATCATCTTAAAATTTAATATGTCAATGTTGCATAATTTTATGTAATTCTTTACAATGTATGTAGAATATATCAACTTTTAAAATAATGTCAGTAAACTAATTTACATGTAAATTCTGAACTAACAATTCATTGCTTAAAAATTATTCGCAAACAACAAAATACTGATATACTGTTTAATAAACTATTATTATTATTTTCTACTTTATCATGTGGGTACTTAGAGGGCCTTTTTTAATCATATCCATCATGGTTTCAGTCAGGCCCACACAATGAGATAGTTGATTAGTAAATGACAGGTCTGACACATCGGGGACAGACCACCCCTAGAAAAATTCCTGGGGGTTTTTCACCTGAATTCAATCCCAGGTCTTCCAGAGAAGTAGGACAATGCATTAACTTCCTCGTCCATCTGGCCATCATATAAATGCCATATTTAATAAATATCCATATAATTTCAATTGTCAATCAAAAATTTATATAATTTATTATGAATGTAACTGATTATAGAGAAATGAAAGAAAATATATAATAGTTTATTAAATGATTTATTTTCAATAAACTAATTGGCATATGACTTATTTTCAGTGAATTTCTGAGATGAAATTAAGAATATTTGTCATTATAATAATGATAAATTGTTGTATTTCATCATTCAACATAAACAACAACAAATTATTTAACTGTAATTAGAAAAACATTGAAAAAAAAGGCTTACTTTTATATTGTTCCAATTAAGTGAATTAAGATGAGGATCATTTTTTGTAACTTGTTCCAATGTTTTGTCAACATCAGTGTTGTTGTCTGGTTCGAATGGAAGAACTTTTGGTTTTGTTGAACGAACTACGGCTGTATTTTAAAAATGAAATACATCAAATAAATAAATGTAGTAAAAAACTGTCTTATAAATATTCATAATCTATTAAGCATTTATGACCAAAAATTATTACGGATTATATTATTAGATTATTATATATTAACTACAGAATGCAGTAGTGTGAAAGTGATGATACAGCATACAATGTGATAGATTTACACACTACTATTGATAAATGTACTATTAATAACCACAGTATGACTGACTACCTTTATGGTACAGTAAAAGTTTACTTCTTAAACAACCTTCCTTAAAAAATTTATAACTCAAAAAGGTGATCTATATATATAAAATTGCTTGTCCTGACTGACTGACTGAATGAATGACTCACTGATTCATCATCGCCCAGAGCAAACTGCTGGACCTAAAGAGGTGAAATTTGGTACACAGTTAGGGTACGTCATGAAAACGCACACTAAGAAGGGATTTTTTTGAAATTCCCAAGGGGGGGGGAGAGGGAGAGCATTAAGGCGTAACCGAAAGAACGGCTTCTACTGTGCTATTTTAGATGCAATTTTTTGTTTTTATCTGCATTTTAGTAGGGTATGCCATGAGAATGTACACTAAGAAGGGATTTTTAGAAATTCCCCCGCGGGGAGTGAGGGAGAGGATTTAGTCTTCATCGAGTACTTAGGTGTATTAAATTAATAACATTTCTGACATTGTTATAAATATTTTTATCCATTTCGATTTTAAAAATGTTCGAACAGTTTTAAATTCGAATTTGTTATTGCATATTGGTTCGATTATAGAACGATTGTAAACGTTCCAAAAAATTGATCAAATTGAAAATAGTTTGTTTGATTCTCAGCAATTCTCTTCAGCGGTAGGTGTTATATAACAATTACTATGGTTATTGAAATATTGAATGTAAATGGGGTTTGCTTGCAAAACCTTTGCGGACGAAGTCGCGGGTAACAGCTAGTTCTCAAATAAATTAGGACTTTAGTTCTTTTTTGAATTACAAATTTCTCAAGGAGGGTTAATTACAAAAACTGAAAATGTTCAAAACAAACTTTTACTGCACTGTAAAGGTAGTTGTACTATGGATTTACACACACCAAATATTAGGATAAAGTTAAGATTTAACTAACAAAGGACAGATAGATGAAGCCTATTTTACTTGAATTTTCAGTAGATGAGAGAATTTAAGTGAAATTATATTATTTTCTATAGAAATCTATTCTAGTTCCATCATCCCTCTTCTGTTCAAGTTATTAAAGTTATATTTAACTTTGCTGTTTCTGAAACTGTGCCTTCTTTCATTTGTTAATCTTGACCACACAACTAGGTGTACAAGTAGACACTAGGCTTTTTTACATCACACTTTATTCTACAATATCTTAGGTGCTGGTACAAGTTGAGCAGATGAGGGACATATATTTTCAATATGTTTTGGGCATATTTCTTGAAGAAGCATGCATGAAGTTATAGCAAACGACTATAACTTCATGCATGTTTATAGTGTATCAGCGCCTATGACATTGCAAAATAAAGAGTGGTGTAAAAAAGCCTAGTGTCTACCTGTACATCTAGTTGTGTCGTAAAGATTAGTTATATTTAATACAAAATTTGTTTTATATTCAATGCTTACAATTTTATACACTTTAAATTTATGCTTTTTGGCATACTTTTATATTTATTGATTTTTTTAATAATAATTTCTTTAGGATTTTAATAATACTTTCATCCTCAAATTAGGCCATCCTCACCATAAATCAAAGCCAGAATAACAAATACAATATTTATATAAAGGAATAGTTTTACCCCCTTGTTAAAAAGTCCCTATTATTGTTACAATGACTAAAAACTTTTCTATGAAGTAGAAAAAAAAACCTTAAAATTTTGTTTTTTTAAAAAAAGTTTTGAAGACATTTCATTAACTGAAAACATTTGTTTGTTTTTAATCAGTTTTGCTGGACTTTATAGTTAATATATCCAGTTAGAACTTATATAAGAACTTTCTTATGCAAAATATCTTAGTTGATCTCTTATTAGTTCAGCACCAATTCACTTTTTCTTCTTCTTGACTACTGAATATTTTTTAAATGCTGATTAAACTTTACTCAGAATTAATTAACAGCATTAAACCCTGACCAGGATTTAATGCTGTTGTCCTGATTAGGGTTTGAGTCTCAGTTATTTATTTATTTTTTATTACCAAGACGTCAAGACATTTTCCTTTTAAAACCTAAAAATTTCCAGGACTACGTAATTTCAGTTAAATATAATTGAAATTTTAGTATTATATTCTACTATATTTTAGTATCATTCTTTAATATAGGTTTTAAATTAAAATAAAATGTTCATTAAATATCTATTATTAGCCTAAATTTTTATATAGGCTATCAAATGAGATTTTATATGTAATTTTGAATAAATAAATACACTTTGGCAATCATTATTAACATGATATAAGACTCATTTTTCTAAATTTTGATATTGTCAGTCTTGAGTTGTTTCTCCAGAGACTTAAAATTTGAAAAATTTAAAAATTTTCTGTGAATTTCTATGACAGAAACACTAATAATGATTTAAACATAGCATCTTAAAAATTTTTGCTTCTGTTAAAAGCAAAAATTTTTTGTTTGCTGCTCAAATTTCTAAAAGATAACTAAATAGTACCATCTCTCTTCTAAATATAATTGCTAAAATCAGTGTTACAATAAAATTGATCTTTTTATGTAATGTATGAACCTTACTATAATTGTAAGCCGTTTGCTATAACTTCATGCATGCTTCTTCAAGAAATATGTTTTCAAAAGCAGTAATCTCTCCTAATAATTTTCAGAACTAAATTTATAATAATGAATGAATGTTCACATTTTTATTAGGGCACTGCTATTGCTTCCCCAATGAGACAGAGAATGTAGAGGTATACATTTTGTAATGTACAGTAATGAGGTGGCCACTTTACATTTTTGTTTCATTCACAAAGTTACAGCAAACTAACTGTAGACATAAGAATCTTTTTTTTACCGGACGTAAAAGTTTTATAAGAATTATTCCAAATTTTTCTATGATAAATATAATTTTGTTAAATATTATAAAATTATAATGAACTTTTCGATGTTTTGACAAATATATTTATTATGTTGAATCCACTGCATCTTGGATTAAAATGTAAAATAACATTTTAGTATAGATTTTCCTAACATTTATATATAATTATATATTAATATTAATTAACATGTATGGTTTTAGACAACACGATATTTAAATACAAATGGAACTCTGATGGTTATTATATCAATTGGTGTAATTCTTAAATAGTAAATAACATAATTTCAGTAATTTAAAATGATAACATTCATTTTGGAAGACCTTATATATAACAACTATATTTTATATGTTAAAATTAATAATTTATTTTTAATATGAAAATTCCTAATGATAAATATATAAATAATTTTAAACAATATGATAATTAGTTTAAATTAATAAAATACAAACTTTCAAACTTTTCTCCAGTAACTTGTTTTTGATTTAAGATTGAAGCATGATACTGATCTTGATTCAACATGCTGTGTAGACCCAAAACAGCTATTATTAAATAAAAAAAAATAAATTACTTAGTGCATTCTTTGTAAAATAAATTTCATTATTTAAAAAGATAAAATTTACCTGCAAGATCTACTAATTCAGATTCTGTGGCAGTAGATAAAGCTTTTTCGTAATCATCATCTAAATCCAATTCAATTTTTATGTCATCCTCTTCTTTTAATTTAGGTTCCGCTTTTGGCTTCCAAACTTTTCCTACAAATATGATTCTTGTTTTAATGTTTCTATATCTATTTAATAATATTTTATAATTTGAAATTACATTTTCTTTAAACAAATTATATCCTGATAGGTATTTCATCCCAAAATTATGAAAAAAATATATACTCAAACCTTGATATGATACCATTCTTGTAAAGTGTCAGTTAATATGTACTTGCAAACAACAGTTCTTTCCCATAAACAATAAATAAAAATTATTATTATATTTTAATGAAACATTAATTAGATCACATTTGCAAATTTTTCTTAAAATTTTGGCAGTTCCTATTCAAATTTATGTTTAGTTGGATTAATAAACTTCCTATTTTGCTTTAGACTAATCCAAAAACACAACTTGTTGGTTTTGTTTATTAATGCGCATATCTACTGTCATTCCAAAATTATTTAAAATTTGTCATTTTTTTCATAATTATCAAAAAACTTTATTTATTGAAGAGAAAAGAGAATATATTTTTATTATTTAATTATTTTATTTACAGTAAATTATAATTGATCTGAATTACAATCATTATGTATTCATTCAGAATATTGTTGTACAACATATTGAAAAAATGAGATTTGATCTAATTACTTCTATTGAAAAGATTAATCTCGGATGACCAACATCTGAAACAAATGATGTATTTTTTTGTTAAAACAATCACAAATTATAGCAGTTGTTTTAACAAAAAACAATTTTATCTTTTATTATAGTGGCGCAACAATATTCTGATGCAGAAAACTCACTTGTAAGATAGAGAAAAAATGTTATTGTTATCTCTTTGTGTCAATAATAAAATTAAAAACTGGAATTGATAGATACAGGTAAGTGTGAACAATCTATTCACACTTATCTGTATTTATCAATGATATGTATCAGCAATTGTCATATTTTTAAAATCTACAGCACTTGAATTATTCAGATGCAGGATTTAAAATTATAAATACAAAAATAGAAGTAAACTGAACTGTTTATATTTAATTAAATTGAGACTGCTGTACATTTTTCTGACAGAATTATCAGCTTCCTAATTAAAGGAAATAACTTGTTAATTTGAACTTGGAAAGTTCAAAATAGCATTAGTTCATAACTGTACTTTTGTTCCTGCCAGGGTTAGATATTTACATGTTAAAGAATTTTCTACTTTGAAATTCTATCCGAACTGTGATACGCATATCCTAATTTATTCCTGAAGATTAAAGTGCCTCCATACTATAAAAGAGCAATAGACTGAGAACAACTTTAATCTGGTCAGTATGTCTTTGTCTTTATAGCAACACATTTCAGGTATCATCTTACTCATGTACTACCATTTTTTTCTCTTATGTCATAAAATACAGCTGGGATTTGGGATTGCAAGATTGGGCTACAAGCATCAGACTGAAATATATGTAGGGCTCTAGGCTACTAAACGTACATTTGAATGACTACTTTTTGGGATGCATTTCAAAGAATTCTGTTTTACTTCTCACCAGATACGTGCTGTTTACCTTCAGTTTATTTATATTATTATTATTAATTTATTAATGGAAATAACGTTTTGTATACATAGCCTTATTTAGTTTGCTTAATTAATTACATCAATTATGTGGCATTTGGCATATTGTACAGAAATATGTAGATCTTGAATAATTTGAAATTCAAAGTCGTGATTATTTCGTCCCCTGAATTTCAAACTAATGAGGATTTCCTGTACTATCTTCTACTATATCTTCATAAAGAATAAAAGCTTTCTAGCTAAAGTGATTTTTTTGCTGTTATATTTCAAGTATCTATTCTAACAATAAGGATACAGAATTTCTTTTAATAGTCTCCTGACACATTTTCAAGATCTTGTATCACCCCAAAAAGGAAAAAATTCTCAAATGTGCATCATGCTTTTTGATAACAGAGAGAAACACTATATATCACATATGGTTTATAATAAAAAGTTTTAATTATAACTGAACTGATGGCCACATAATCTGTTTTAACTGGCCTATGTGGTTATGACATGTAACTAGTGGAAAATATTTAAAAATTATAACCAAATATAAAATAAAAAGCACATTCAATGGAAAACTGTAAAAGTGCCCTTAAAAGCAGTGAGAGTTCCATGAAAGATTCTCTACAGCTGGAACTACATTACTCTTCCTTGACAGGCACCACCATTTTATCAGTCCATTGCTAACAGTGTTGCCTCTGATGTGTCAAAACTACTATGATATTACTCATCCTTTAATGGCACTTTTCCAGTTTTGTATTGAACATGCCTTGTTTAATAATTGTGTGCATGCTTGTGTGTTATATCCAAAACATAAACACTCCATTACCTCTTTTAACACCAGGCTGATATGGTTTGCATTCTGGCCAATCTTCTTGTTCTTTAGCTGATGTTTCCAGATATTCAAGAAGATGCTTTCTATCTAACGGTCCAGTCGGAGACTTATTAGTCTGCTCGCGACATCTTTCCGAAGGTGGAAGCAACGAATCCTATCAAAAAACATAGCTATGTAAATTTTTATATTAAAATCAAAAGAAAAATGCAATTTACTACTATATAGTACACAATATTTTTCTGAATGTAAATTTTTGTAGTATAGATATGCTACAATGTTGTAATAGTAGTGAGTATATTGTATAGTAATCAAAAGCAGGATAATATTTTATATAATAATACACATAATATGACGATTTTAGTCTCTGTAATCCAAAAATATTCTTGGTAGACAAATCTCACAGCAATCTTATTGGCAAATTAAATTTATTTTGTAAAGACTACATCAAATGCATTTCGGGCTGGTCTAATATTTTCCAGTCCCTCTTCATTAGTTTGACCAGCCCGAAATGCATTTGATGTAGTCTTTACAAAATAAATTTAATTTGCCAATAAGATTGCTGTGAGATTTGTCTACCAAGAATATTTTTGGATTACAGAGACTAAAATCGTCATATTAACTAATATACAGCAAACCATTTATATATATTTTGAATATTTTTACTTGTTTTATAAATTCGAACCAATAGGAGTTTTGTCGTATCCTTGATACTTAGTCAACTAAGTGAATGTCTAGTGTAAAATAATTTAAAACATTGATTGATTGCGCTTCTAAACAATTAATGTAAATATTAATTTAGTTTCAAGGAAAAATAAAGCTTAAGTAAAGTCTACAAATAAAATTCTTCATATTTAGAGTCTTCAAATAAACTGATTACTTCTCTCGTAGAGTTTATCATGTTTCCTACACAACTATACTGCAATAATTTATGCTTTAAGTGTATCATTAATGCACGATACTTATTGATTATATCTTAGTTAATAAGATGGAATTGAGAAATTATTCATATAGAAATTCCGATAATGTTAGATTTAATCGATAACCTGCAATTAATTAGCAAAAAATTATTGAATAATTTTCTAAATTTAGTTTTAAAATGTTTTCCTTGAAAGAGAGATGCAACTGTATTCGCTGCGCATTGAATCCGTCGTTTAATGTAATGAAAATTTTCGGTCTACCAATTTCGTACAACAGACACAATCCTAATAAAATTCGTGAAGTCATACATAATTTATATTGCTTAATTATAAATGTTATTTTGTGGATTCACTTCTACATCCATTGTATGTCCTACCTTTACCATTATGAATACGATATATTATGTTTCGGAGTAAAATATTCAACGATCACGTGGGATTATATATGTTTGATAAAGATATTTTGGTTCTTCCTAAACGGAAGTATTGTTCCAGTATTGGTATCATCGGATTTATCGAATAAGTGGAAGATAATAACTGAAATGTTTCTACGTTTAGAAGAAATTCTGCACTCGAAAACACACTTAGAAGCGAACTTTTATATGCTCCAAGATAGATTCTTTGAGATGACATCAATGGTATTTTTTATGGTCGTGATTGCTTATTACGCACGAATAACTAACAATGTTATCCGTTGTTTTGATTCGACACATTGCTCTTGTGACTCAAAATTGATCTTTGTCGATGCTCTTTTATTGTGTTTCTTATTTGGAAATATACTTTATCTTATGATGTTCCTCACATTAGTATGCACATATTCATTATGGAAATTTCGTTTATATTTCTCTTATGTAAACTTATTATTTGATTTTCATAAAACAGATCAAATCGATCATTTTCGTCTTAAATCTATTATTAAAATATTAGATTCAGTGTATGAAATTTTAGAAACTGCTATTGAATTATTTAGTAATCTTGGAATATTTTTAACATTAATACTTGAAACATCTGCATTTTTTACTGTGTTTTCTATGATTTTTCTAATTGATGATACGGTGCAGCAATTGACCTCGTTTGGCGTGTTAATACTGATAACTGTAGCATTT